GTTGTGTGGCCTCTCCTGTTGCGGAGCACAGGCTCCACACGCGCAGGCTCAGCGGCCATGGCTCACGGGCCCAGCCGCTCCACGGCATGTGGGATCTTCCCTGACCGGGGCACGAACCCGCGTCCCCTGCATCAGCAGGCGGACTGTCAACCACTGAGCCACCAGGGAAGCCCCCTAGGATCCCTTTTAGAATTATTTTGTCAGTATTCACCGACGATTTCAATGCTATAAGCATGTTACTCTCATTTGTAGGGGGTAAAGCGGTTCTCATGCTGTGAAATACTAGATGAGCTTCTCTCCACAAATTCATTTAAAGTTTTCAAATGGCCATTAAGTGAAAGGGCTACCTCGGAAAAGGTTAAACACAGCTTTTCCAATCAAGTTAGTGACCGATGCTGATTGATTTAAAGTAATTCATTGTCTGGCATGCTGTTTTCTGTTATTACTTTTCTGACACTTACAGCTCAGGCCTTGGGATACAATTATAATAATTATCTGGATGAGTATTTTAATCGGCGACTTTTGGACTCTTCAACAAACTGTCATACTTTATTAACAGGAAATGACATCACGTGCCGGCTGTCGTTTGGCTGCTTCTCTGAGGAATATTCCACCATGAGAACTATTTGTAGTCTTCCTATATGGTCTCCCGTGGCTGGCTCCCAGCCGTTGTGGCTCAGTTAAGAGGTTTTTTTTCCCTTTACTGCATTTTTTTCTGTCTCAACAAGCATGGTGAGCATCCCGTATAGTACTTACCTGCAACTGCTCAGAAAAACAAGCATGTATGTCTTTTGACATCCTAAATTGTGCATACTATAAAAGACAATGATTTATGGAAATGAGGCTCATCATGGCAGCCATGCCTTGGAAATGAGACAAAAGCTACTTAAGTAGCACCGTAAACGAGGCTGCCTCTTAAAATCTGTTTTTATCTGATACACTCAATTAAAAATAAACTGCAATAAAAAAATTGGGGAAATGTAGAAACAGTCGGTTTGATAAGCCAAAGGTCCTAAGGCTGTTCATTGAACATGTTTAAGTATAAATAACACTGCCCACTAAAGACTGATCGTCATACAGGATACATTCCCAGGGGCTGTTCAGTAAGATTATCAACCGTTAGCCAAATGCATAACATTTATACTGGAAATAATACCTGGAAAATAAGAAATTCCTGCCATTTTCACAAGACTGTCGAACTTTATAATGTAAGCTGCTTGAGTGCCATCAGGACTTAACCCCCCTTGTGGTCCCAATCCTTTCAGTGACTGATCTCAAACAATAGAGGCAACAGTCATGCCTCAGGTGTTTCAAAAGCATTCTTTATATAGTAGAACTGTTGTCAAACAATGTTGTAATTTGAACACCCTTGCCCCAAAAAAGAGGCATTAAATTGTGCAAGAGGTGTGCATTCTAGAATGATTTCCGGCTGGATTCGCAGAACTATGTCGAAGGCGGTCTCTCTCTCGGCATCCTGACCCCGGGGCCACGAGTGTCTTCTCTTCCAGGTCCTGGAAAAGCCCTTTTCTCACTGAGCAACCTCAAGGGCCAGAAACCCTCCTGTTACTATTAAAGACACAGCTTTTCTGTGTCGTACGAAAGTGATCAAATGAATCGCCAAGACTGTTATAACTTGGGTTTGTTAACTGTCTCCGAGGTCTGGCATCCGTCTCTGTGTTTGAAAAGAAAGAAACCACTGCCCTCTTGTGGAGACTGGTGTCATTGCTCCTGTCACAGAAGTCAAAGGCATCAGGAATTTCTCCTTTGATCCAGGCGTCAGTGGGAATCTGGGCACATAACGGAATCAAAGCCGAGCATCTGAACTTAATTCTACCTAATAGCTCATCCAGATGTTATACATGCAAAACACTGAAAATTACCTATGAAAGACTGTTTCTGGGGAGTTTTTGATGGTGTCTACATACCAACTGGGCTTACATTTTCAAACCATGTTTCTTATGTTACCTGTTCTTTTTAAATTAAAAAACTTACATGCTAGTAAAATACATGACATGAAGTTTAGCATCTTAACCATTTTCAGCGTACAGTTCAGTAGTGTTAAGTACATTCATTTTGCATCCAATCTCTGGAACCCTTTTCGTCTTCCCAAACTGAAACTCTGTCCTCATTAGACAATAATTCCCCCTCCCCCTCCCCTCGGCCCCTGGCAGCCACCATTCTGCTTTCTGTCTCTATGAACTTGACTCCTCTAGGGAGCTCACATAAGTGGAATCATACAGCATTTGTCCTTTTGAGGCTGGCTTATTTCACTTAGCAGAATATCCTCAAGGTTCATCCATGCTGTAGCAGGTGTCAAAATTTCCTTCCTTTTTTTTTTAAATTACTTTTTAAAAAAAAATATAATAGTGTTTATTTTTACTTGTTGACAGTTTGCTTTATTTATTTATTTATTTATGGCTGTGTTGGGTCTTCGTTTCCGTGCGAGGGCTTTCTCTAGCTGTGGCAAGCGGGGGCCACTCTTCATCGCGGTGCGTGGGCCTCTCACTATCGCGGCCTCTCTTGTTGCGGAGCACAGGCTCCAGACGCCCAGGCTCAGTAATTGTGGCTCACGGGCCCAGTTGCTCCACGGCATGTGGGATCTTCCCAGACCAGGGCTCGAACCCGTGTCCCCTGCATTGGCAGGCAGATTCTCAACCACTGCGCCACCAGGGAAGCCCTCCTTCCTTTTTAATGATACTCCATTGTATGGAGAGACCACATTTTGTTTATCCATTTATCTATCTATGGACATCTGAGTTACTTCCACCTTTTGGTTATTGTGAATATTGCTTCTATGAACATGGGTGTACAAATATCTCTTCAAGACCCTGCTTTCAATTCTTGTGGGTCTATCCCCATATTGCTGAATCACGTGGTGATTCTATTTTTAATTTTTTGAGGAACCACCATAGTGTTTCCATAGAATCTGCACCATTTTACATGTCTACCAACAACGCACAAGGGTTCCAGTTTCTCCACATCCCCACCAGGCAAAGAAGACGTTTTTTTAGAACCATCATTCACATATAACAAAGAAAGGCAATTTTAAGTCATTTTATTTTATTGAGTTTTGCAAAAACCTCTTTAAACAACAGTCAAAGAATAAGAAACTACTGCAAAAGTTCAAATAGGCCCAATTATAGCATACAACAGACCATGGGGTTAGTCTTATTATGTGATTTCAATTAATTCACTGTCATAAAAAGAATATACTGCCTGTCCTGCTGGGAAATTGCTTCCATATGTTCACCTGACACGGGGCTTCTGAACTTGGGGTATTTTAACTGCAGATCAGCATTTTAAGAATTTGAATTTAGTCAACTAGATGGGAGAAATTCTTTCACAATGCATACATACATCAAATTGTATATCAAATCATCACAAGGTACACTTTGAATAACTTACAATTTTATTTGTCAATTATATCGCAATAAAGCTGAAAAAAGAAAAAGAATTTGAACTCAGGACCTATCAGTGATTTTAAAATATGGGGTGGAGGGGAGTTCACAGCAAAAGCAGCTGCTGAGCTAAGAAAAGAAGAAAAATACGACTCAGTATAAAGACAGGTACTAGTTAATTTTAAGTACTAAAGAGGCATTTCATGCGCTGCTCGAATGTGGGAAAATCTCTTTGGTGTGGCAAAAAAAAAAAACTCATTATAGGTGCTCTAAAAAAGTACAAATTCTCTGCAAGTACACATTTTCATTATCAGAATTTTCTGTTTCTTCTCACTCGGCCAATTATTTTAAAAATATAAACAAAGGCGTTTTAGCAAAACAGAAGGGTGACAAACTGATATACTAATAAGCTATAATGGAACGTAATGGGGGGACTTCATACCTGCCAAAGAAAATTAAGAAAGAAGCAAAAGCTCAAAGCAAGCCCTGCGGATCTGCCACGGTAAAAAAACTGCTCATCACTTTCCAGTCTCATCTGAGGTTTCTCTTTTTCTACTCAGTTTTTAAAAATACCATTAGGATCCTTTGCATTGAATTTAGAACTAATTAAAAGTATTATGGTAGCTTTAAATTTTATGGATAACTCATCTGTATAAAAAAAGGACATAAAATTAGTCTTTTATGTTTAAAACTCATAAAATCAGAAATATTATGGGTGTGTACAATTCAACCTGTAGTTTCCCTGCTTTGCCTGTCTGCTGAAGCGCTAAGTAGTCTACGTTATCATGGAAATGACTATTATCCAAAAATCACTGCTCATTCATTGGGGGTCACGCTGCCAGTATCAAGTGAATGAATTCATAGGTCTGAGGTTTCATCCTCCAATTCAGGATTTGGGCCCTTTATCAAATACCTGCAGTGTTTCTGAAATACCCAACTGAAAATAGGCAAACAATTCTAGGCACTACCACAAGCTCTGGAAAAACCGTGACCATCTGTTGTCATGAATTTAATTGTTTCAAAGACAGTGCTAAACCCTCATAACGCGCATTAAGAACGACATGTTGTCACGCTGAACCTGGACTCCCCATCACTTCTCCATCATGGCCAGGATCATCTCACAGGTCATGTCTTCATCCAGGTCCTCGCCTCCAGCCGTGGCTTCCCCGAAGTCGATGGGAACCAGCCCTCCCGGGTACTGCTCTCCGCTCACCAGGGAGGCCTCCTCGGCAGCGGCTTCTTGGGGAAAAGGCACAGCGTTGGCAAATTTAAAATAAAGCAGCCGAGAAATCAGAATTGATAAACGCTGCGATTGTATTTTGGAAACAAGGGCTGAATTTTTAGCACAGCATTTTAGAAAACAATACTTCCATTTATAGGACAGTACAAATATCCTGGTCTCAACTGTTTAAGGCAGGGCTTCTCAGCCCCAGCTTTAAGGCAGGGTTTCTCAACCTCCGCTCTGAAGACATTTAGGGCCGGAGGGTTCCCTGCTGTGGGAACCTGTCCTGCGCACCGTTAGGCGGTTAGCAGCCTCCCCTGGCCTCGACCCGCGGGGTGCCAGAAGCACCCTCCCCCAGCTGTGGCAACCAGAAATGCTATCAGACACAGGCACCTGTGCCCTGGGGGGCAGAATCACCCCCCGCTGAGAACCACGGCTTAAGGTGAATGCAGATCCTGTGAATTACTGGCCGGACGGCTTACACAAGTCTTGTCCTGGTACTCACGGAATGACACTGATGACATGAAAAAGGCCAGCTGCTCTCGGGACACCTGTCCCATCAGCTAATCAACATACCCCGAGTCACCTCCGGGTCCAGCGTCCTGCTAGGTACACACTATGAGCCACACTCAGATCCGTGACCATCCCTGCCCTCCTTCCAGCAGCTTCTAAACAGTCAGCCCAACTTTGGGAGTCTCAAAACAGAGGCTCACATCCACATCCAACCCCCTACCCATTTTCCAAATTCCTCCCCAAGAATACCCGTGGAAAGTCACTGACGAGGCACCGGGAACGAGAAACAGAGGGCCCCGCGCAGAAGGCGGCTTTTATTGCACGTGTCTTCAAACTTGCTGCAACGGAGCTTTGCTTACGGTTCCTTGAAGCATTTGGGGCGGGGGGGGGGAGGGGAGTGGGGAGAGGAGTAAGACCCAGGCCTTGTGTACGAAGATGAACACAAGAGTCGCAGAATAGGTGCCGTCTGACAGTAACTTGCAGAAACCTACCGAGGACCTGGTGGGGGACACGCTGACCCACTAACACAGCAAAAGTAGAAGTGAGACGGTGACCTGGAGGATGTAGGTTCCAAAAAAAACCCCTGAAGTGCAAATCAAGTCCTGTTTTGGGCTCATACAAGTCAGGTTACTAGTCTCAATTCACACTTTGCTTTGAATACACAGCTGACCCTCTTTGATACGCAAAACGTTTTAATGCATCCAGTCTTCTCATCCCCGATTTTTAAAACTGCAAGAGCTTTGCCCTTTCTGCCCTTCTGGCTCACGAACAGTCAACGCCAGCCGTGTCTCCAGGGCCCTTCCCAGAGCTCGTCGACAGAATGGTCCTGTTTCAAAGACTAGTGTAAGTAAATGGGGAAGAAGGCGCACGTGGGGACCTACTCTTCATCACTAAAAAAAATTTTTTTCTGTTCTTTCAATGTCAACGTCCAGAAAGCACGTTGGGGAGAGGTCAGCTCAGGATTAATGAGGGTGAGGTGCTGCCCCGCAACTGCGGAGGCCGGTGCCCAGGCTGGAAGCCCTCAGGCTTGAACAATGGAGGGGCCGAGGGGGCAGGGGAGAGGGGAGTCCATGGGAACAAGAGGGAGCAGAGTGGAGCTGGGAGTCCTGCCGGCATATTTATTTTTTCTCAAGACACAAGTATATTTAAGGCTGGCGAGAAGGATCTGGCTGAACCGGACGAGCTGGCCGCTGGGGAGGGAGAAGAGAAACGTGGAGGGGTGAGCAGGTGGGAGAGAGGCGCTACAGGGTGTCCACGGGAGCCTGGGGCAGGCTATGGCCTCTGTCATCCAGTTCTCCACTGGCGGATGGCATGAAGGCCTGCGGTGTGGGGCTGCACTCAGGATAAAAGGGACCACGTGTGAGCTCTCGGTGGGACATGGTAACTCCTGCAGGAGATAAAACAGGTGCTCCAGAGATGGGCCGTGGGTGCGATTCTGGATGGTTCTGAGCTGGGCAGCTGTGCACCGACTGAGGACCCCTAGGTTCTGCCAGGTCACCCGCCCTCCAGGACCTGGCTCCCGCGATGCCTCCAGGGTTTGAGCTTTGCCAGGTGGGTGAGACGTGGAAAAAGAACCAGGGAGTTTGGCATGTGGACAGTTACTGAAATGAGGGACGCTGCACAGAGGGGAAAGGGACAGACTGCAGGACGCCCTGTTAAACGTGAGTTTCCGATAAACACTGAATCATTGCTTAGCATAAGTTTATCCCAGATAGTGTGTGGGATATACTCATACGACAAAGTTATTCACTGTTTATCTGAAATTCAAATTTAACTGGGCGTGTCCTCCACTTTATCTGACAACTCTTGAAGGAAGGAAGAGGCTTCCAGCTATCCGTGGGAACATTCACAAGTCCAGGATTGGGGCTGGAATCAAAATCTAGGGAATTTAAAGGATGAGGATGCCATGCAAACATATTCCATTTGTTTTTGCTGAAGGTTGCCTTGGTTTCCAGTCCCACTCTAAGTCTAAGATTCTCATACGAAAGGAACAGAAAACATACAGAACAGCTGCACAGGAGCTAGGGCCTCCCCCTCGTGGAGCAGAACCTTTCACAGGGCCTACAGGGCACGGACAACCCCTGTGCTAACCTGGGGACTCACATCTGCTCCCTGGGGCTGGAGGGAAAAGACTGACGCCTGGAGTGGGTTGAATGGCAGCCCCGCAAAAGACACGTCCCCAACCTAACCCCCAAACTGAGACTGGGACTTTATTTGGAAGAAGGGTCTTTGAAGATGTAATGAAGGCCCTCGAGATGAGATCCTGGATTTTCCAGGCAGGCCCTAAAGCCGACGACACGTGTCTGTATGAGACAGAAAAGGTGAGACGCAGATACAGGGGATGCGCCCACGGGCAGACAGAGGTAGAGATGGGGTGATGCAGCCACAGGCCCAGGGGCGCCTGGGCCACCGGAGGCCGGAAGAGGCAAGGAAGGGTGCCCCGCCCCCCGCAGAGCGTGCAGATGGAGCGTAGCCCTGCTATGGCCTTGATTTAGGGCTTCTGCCTCCAGACCTATGAGCAAATCAATTCCCGTTGTTCTAAGCCACCCAGCATGTGGTCATTTGCTGCGGCAGCCCCAGGAGATGGACACAGGCCCATAGCTCCACCAGGCACAGGGACGGTCCACCAGCACGACCAAGGACAGCGGGGGCATGTGCAGCGTCATTGCCTGGCTCTCACGTCCCACCAGGACCCCACGTGACGGGGTGTGGACCCACCGGGGTCCCCAGGCTCACTTCCTCTGCGCATCCTCCCACTTCACCAACCTGCCCGTCGGGGCAGCAGCAGCAATGGCTGCTGGAAGGCGCCTGCTGGGGTCGGACACTTAGGGTTTCTGGATGCGTCCCCTGCACAGTAACGCTCAGCACCCAGGGAAACGTACAACCAGAAAACCACCGTCAAAATAAAACCTGATTCATTTAACATGAGGTACCGTCTTCCTTGGCTGTCTCTTTGGGGATGGTCGGCTTCCTCTTTTTTGTTCGTCTTCCTTTATCCAAGGCGGTTGGCTTTTCTTGCCTGGAGCCACACTTTTTCAAGTGTCTCTGCATGTTATTCTGCCGGAGAAGTGAGAGCACAGGGAAAGCCAGCATCACTGGGAATGGCGTGGAAAACCCACGGCTAAAGAGACGGCAAGCGGGGAGGAACACGCGCCTTGGGTAATCTTGTACAAAAAAGATGATTTTTTTTAAAGGTGACCCTTTTTCTGTTGTGTTTCGGTCTAGCCGAAACCCAGCTTATTTTTAAATATTTTTAAAGTCATGGATGTCAGTGAGAAGACAAAATTCATTTTCCTAGACTCTGCTTCTACTGAAGTGAGGCTTGAAAAATTCAACATACCCTCGACTTTACGAAAATCAGTAACATACCATGGGCATTCTACTGCCCTGCCAGCTTCCCTCCAGACCCGCTATGCATGGAGGTAGTAAGACTGTACAACATTTGGAATTAAAAAGGCAGCTCAGAGCTTTCCTATCAAACCGAGTAACGATATATTTTTGTCTATGAACACTCAGGATGGTTTAAAATAAGTGAGAACACTTACACTAAGTCCATATGCTAAAGTAAGATACTGGCGGCATGTCATTAAATATGCTGATTATATAAAATGTGACCCCTAATTTCCACTGAGACTCCAGTGTGGTGGTCAGGACTGTCTTCGTGCGTCGGGGGAAAGAGGAAGGATCCATATGTAAGGGGAGGGGGATGGTACTTAAATTTCTTCCATTTTATGCTTATCCATAGGGGTTGGCAAACTGCTTTTGAGCTACAACGGCAGACTTGAGTAGTTGGGGCAGAAACTGGTCTGTGAAGCTGAAAATATTTGCTCTGGCCCTTTACAGAAAAAAGTGCGCCAATCCCTGGTTTATAGGATGACGAAGTACATAAAACCAAGCCTTTTGGAGTCAAGGATTCCTTTGTGAATATGATAAAAAGCAAGGCTCCTTCCCCAGCAAAGGGCATGTGTATCTCCATACATAGTCTCCCTACAACTTCACAAAGTTCATGGTGAAGAACTCCTGACACGGGCTTCTCTGGTGGCGCGGTGGTTGAGAGTCTGCCTGCCGATGCAAGGGACACGGGTTCGTGCCCCGGTCCGGGAAGATCCCACGTGCCGCGGAGCGGCTGGGCCCGTGAGCCGTGGCCGCTGAGCCTGCGCGTCCGGAGCCTGTGCTCCGCAACGGGAGACGCCGCAACAGTGAGAGGCCCGCGTTCCGCAAAAA